GTATCACTACAGAAGTAGATTGTCCAACCTTCCTTCTGAGGAGTGGTTGGTGGGTTTGAACCACCAGCCTTCTGGTTAGCAGTCAAGTGCCTTAGGCACTATGCTACCAGAGCTCCTGTTACTGTTACTAGTTGAAGTCAAATTGATTCTGAGCCATGGGGATCCCACATGTACAGAATAAAACTGTGCTCCAGAGGGTTTGCAAGGCTGGGAGGTTTTGGAAGCAGATAGCTACGCCTGACACCTCTGGGGGGATTTGAACTGGTGCCCTTTTGGCTAGGAGTTGAGCTCTTAAACATCTGTGCCATCCAGAAGCCCCTTGTAAATGATTAGACAGTAAATATTTTAGTCTTTATAGACCAAGCCGTCTCTGTTCCAACTACCCAACCCTGTCAATATAGAATGAAAACAACCACAGACGGTATGTAAAAAAAAAAAAAAAAAAAAAAATCATGTAGCTTTTTTTCCAATAAAACTATATCCACAAACTGGGTGGTGGGCCAGATTTGCCCCATGAGTAGTAGCTTCCTAACTCTTGCTCTATGAGAACATTTTAGTCTCCCTTCAATTATAGTAGTTTTTCTTTATCTTTAGTTATAATTTCCATTTACTATGCTTTTCAAGTTTTCATAGAAGATTCAAATATTTTTAACACTTCAGTGTTTACAAATTAATACTTATTTTTCCTTATGTGCTACTTGACATACATGATTCCTTCCCAACCTTTAGGTCTCAGTTTAAGTGTTCAACACTTGGAAATGTTAATTGGCAACAATTCTATTCTTTATATTTTTACAATAAAAATTAGGGGAAAAAAAAAGAAAGTACCAACAGAACAACCAGAATGGAAATGTATCAAGGGTCATTGAACATTATAAAGGACCCAACCGATGTCACTGATCAACTTGGGTAGAAAACATGGAAGGGAAAGCTAAACACTGTGTAAACCTTCAATGAAAACACAGTAAAATATTACATATGAAAAAGTACCAATTGACATTAATATGCTCCCTCTGCCCTCCCCCAAGCCTGGCTCTATAATAAACCCCATTGTCTTCCTCAGAACACTTATTTCACACTGTAATTTGTTTTGTTTATTCATTACATCAGCAAAAGTTCAATGAGAAGGGAGAAAACCCACCAGTAATTGAACAGAGATCGCTTACCATTAAAGGAAAAAAAAAAAAAAAGGTAAACTCAGAGACAGAAATGTTATAAGAAAACATGAAAGGGCCCCGGAGAAAACGGTTGAAGGAGGCAGCTACCAACCACCCGGATGCCTTGAAGAACAAAGGGAAACAGTTTGCGTTTTAAAATTTAGGAGCTTAAATCTGGGTCCAGTAGAACTGAAACTCAGATCTCTGAGGAGGAGGCACTTCTCATCTGGTTCTGGTATCCCTGAGCTCAAGAAGGCCCTCATTGAGCAGGCTGGAGGTTTGAACCTCCCAGCTGCACTGTGGGAGGAAGATGGGGAGAGTCGGCTCCTGTAAAGATTACAGCCTTGGAAATCCCATGAGCCAGTTCTGCTCTGTCCTACAGGGTCTCTATGGGTTGGAATCAATTCAGTGGTTGGAATCAGCTTCAGTTAATCCTCAAGACTAACCACCACTGTAAGGAGCCCTGGTGGCAGACTGGTTAACTGCTCAGCTGCTAAACAAAATGTTGGTGGTTTGAACCCACCAGCGACTCTGCTGGAGAAAGTGGAGAAAGATGTGATATTCTGCGCTGTAAAGATTTACAACCTTGGAAACCCATAGGGCAATTCTGCCCTGTTCTATAGAGTCACTAGGAGTTGTATCAATTCCATGGCAATGTTTCTTTTTGGTTTAACTACCATCTTCAATAAACAGTTCCACTCTTTCTCTACAAAAACGAATAAAGTTAAGAAAATGAGGAAATTAAGAGATTAAACTCTTATTATTTCCTATTTTTATAGACAATATTTACCAATCACTTATTCATACAGGATTTTACCTCCCACAATAAGGTAAAATTTCATTTTTCCCTCTGTAACATGTTGTAGGGGGTCTTTATTTTCCATCTTAAGGATTTAATTGCTTTGTATTAGGATATGGGTGCATTTAAAATTCACTGCCTTAGACATCTATTTATTATATTAAGTAGTATTTTGCTAAAATTGTTGACTAAATAGAGCTTCTTAGTATGCAATACTAGTACAGTTTTTTTTTTTTTCAAAAACACTTCACTCACACATGCTATCCCACCTGCTTCTTGTAGGAGTGAGTTCCATACCATAGGTCATACTGATGGTAAGATACATGGCCATGAATCCTTTTCCTACCAGTGCGATTCCAACGCGCAAAAACACCATAGCTGTGGACAGGAAGTTAAGTGAGAAAAATAAGATATTGAGAATAACATATCTTATTTCATTCCATAATAAACAATTGTGCTCTTAAATTAGCTAGGTTCAAGCAATTTCAGTATTTTACATTTTTCTAATGAGGAGATTTATTCCAAAAATCATACTGTATTAAAAAGAAGTATCCATTCACCAAATACTTAGAAGGAGCCAAAAAGTTTAATTAGGCGCAGAATTACAGTAGTGGGGCAGGTTATTTTGTTTGATTTATTTGAAAGTCTTTAACTATAAAGTCTATTTTGCATCTTGCTGCAGATGCCATAAATGCCTGTATCTTCACAAGCCTGTCTCACAATTTAGCATTACTTAATTGGCAGTCTGGTGGCATACTGCCTAAGGCATTTGACTGCTAACCAGAAGGTTGGCGGTTCAAACCCACAGCCACTCTGTGGAAGGAAGACTGGGCAATCTATTTCCATAAAGATTTCCTGCCTTGGAAACCCAAAGGGGGTCCCAATGAGTTGGAATCGATTCGATGGCAGTGATTTTTTTTTTTTTTT